CTTTGTGTTGCTTTACAACACATTAATCAAGAGATTCTTCTAAAGGAGACCGGCTTTAATGCATAAATTATGCTTCTCCAATAGATAAAAGCTGCTTTGACACCTTGTTCAGCCATGATGATATGCAAGAGATCATGCAGCACTTTGCTGTGTGTCATGTAGATGCACCAGGGCAGCAAGAGGGAGCAAACACCTTCTCCACTGGGTGAGTTATATCATGTATAGACATATAAGTGGACATCTTTATTGTAAATTAATGCAGAAGAATAAGAATGTCTTTTTTATAGATATGAGTACCCTTCCATGGACCAACTGTCTGAGACACTTCCATCAATCCTTAAACATTTTGGGTGAGTTGATTGCTTAATTATTTAAGTTTTAGGTAGATTTCAGATTATTTTCTGTCTTAACTAGTTTTCCTAAACCCCACAGGCTGAAGAGTGTGATCGGCATGGCTGTTGGAGCGGGTGCTTATATCCTTGCTAAGTTTGCAGTGAGTTTGACTTCCTTTTTGATTATTATTAAGTGATTTAAAGTTTTAATTAAACCAGGATAAAGAGCTAAAAGTGTTTCTTTTCCTGTGGATTTTGGTATTCATTTAGCTAGTTTAGCTGCTGAGGAATGTCCAGTGTGAAAAAAAAAATCTGCTTGACTTGCGGGTTGGTTATTTAATAAACTGGGCTTTAGATGTGGTTTACAAATACTGTTTCCTTTTATAGTTGGATTACCCTGCTATGGTGGAAGGCCTTGTGCTAATAAACATCAACCCATGCGCTGAAGGCTGGATGGACTGGGCAGCACACAAAGTGAGTGCTGACCACTTTCTGATTGTAATTTATATAAGATTCATAAGTTATATAGAGTTTTACGCTGTTGTGGGCTCATTTATCTTGAATTACAGATTTCTGGTTGGACTCACGCCATGCCTGACATGATCATCTCTCACCTGTTTGGAAAGGTTAGTCAATGTTTGACCCCCTCTAGATAATTTTTGAATTGATGAATCTATACATCGTATAACAGCAATGTTATTATATTTTTCTTATTTCTCCAGGAGGAAATCCAGCAGAACCATGACCTCATTGGCAGATACCGTCACCACATTGTGAATGACATGAACCAGTTCAATCTGCAACTTTTTGTCAAGTCCTACAACAGGTAAACACAACACGGCTACTAAAACATCCTGCTAAAAAAAGAGTTAATTTAGCATTGACATAATGTTTAATCAATGTTTTCCTCCACTTCACAGCCGAAGAGACCTGGAAATCGAGAGGCCTGTACCTGGTGGCCACATCAATGTCAGCACTCTAAAGTAAGTAAAAAAATCTTTGGAAAACCTCTAGACAATTCAGGATCAATTTCCTGTAGTAATGACTTTGTTGTTCTGTTTTCAGGTGTCCTGCACTCCTGGTAGTTGGAGACAGTTCCCCTGCAGTGGATGTAGTGGTAGGTTTAAGTATAATCTAGGACTATCTTCACTTCATTATTACTGCCATGCTTTTTATTATTCTGCACACTGTTGCTCCACTCTTTATATCCACTGCATGTGTATTTAGTGGTTTAACATGTCTGTTTTCTGTACAGGTTGAGTGCAACACAAAACTGGACCCGACCAAAACCACACTGCTTAAGGTGAGTGGACTCCAGTGAAGCTGGCATGTATTAATAGCCACATGGAAAAGTCAGGCACTGATAAGATTCTGATAGCTCAGCATTATCTAGTGACTAATTTACCCAGGTAGTGCAGAAGCAGTCCACACTGGCCAGTCCTACCTCGGCTGACCTAATTTTCCACAGCCCGCCCTCAGGTGGACAAAGAATTAGGTTTATGGCGCCTAAAATGGCCTATTTATCACCGATAAGTGCTGAGACTAGTGGAGTTAATGGAGCGCTAGGTGTTTTAGACACCTGTGTGAATGGCCGAAACAGAAATGAGAAACAAGCAGTGACGCATTTGTGTTTTCCATGCATTTTAAATAACATTTTATGTTCCTTCTCTTTCGTCAGATGGCTGACTGTGGAGGCTTGCCCCAGGTCGACCAGGTGTGTATTCATAACCTTTATGGCCATTTAGATTCATTTACAAGTTTAGGCTACTCAAGGCACAGGATGATTATTAGGGATGAAGCGCGCCATAATCTCATTACGGACAGCGATGGCATATAGTTCTCAGGTCTAATACTCTGTTCACCACCTGCTGCTACCGGCTGTTAGAATCTGTCCGGTTTCACAACATGTACTTAGGGAAATCTGTTTTCCACCTCGACCTGATTAGCTGTTTTTGTAGCCAAATAAACTGATTTCTGCTTTTATTGTCTCCTTAGCCTGGGAAGCTAACAGAGGCTTTCAAGTACTTCATTCAAGGAATGGGTTACAGTAAGTACTGATATTGTCTTTTTGTTCAGTATACTCTCTGTTTAACCATACATCTGTGGCTTCATAAGGAATGCCCACAGTGCATTGCCTGAACTCCTTCGTTCATGTAAAATTAACATAACGTTAGCGAATACTAGCAAGATATATGACTGGGCTGTGCTGCCCTCTAGTGGCGTGATATAATTTTCAACCTGACTTGCTCAACTTGACCTTTTTCTTAAAATGCTGTGTATAATTTATAAACGGCTGCAAAAACGAATTAAACTTGGATATGCACTACCATTTAAAAGTTTGGGGTATAATACGTTTTTAAAAAATTATTCGGCACAGACTCATTAAATTGATCAAGTGACAGTAAAGACATAAAACTGTTATTTGGAACTTTGTTTAGTTCTGAAGGGAAAAAACATGTACAAAAATATTAACCAGCACAACTGTTTTCAACGTTGATAACAATAGGAATGTTTCTTGAGCACCAAATCAGCATATTAGAATGATTTCTGAGGGATCATGTGACACTGAAAACTGGCTGCTGAAAATGCGGCTTTGCCATCACAGGAATAAATTACATTTGAAAATATATTCAAATAGAAAACCGTTTTAAATTGTAATAATATTTCACAGTTTTACTGTTTTTACTGTATTTTTGATTGAATAAATGCAGCCTTGGTGAGCATAAGAGACTTATTTTAAAACATTAAAAAAATCTTACCAACACCAATTTTTTGAATGGTAGTGTACATGCTTATATCAAGTATTTTAACATTTAAACAATTACATTTAAAAACATGAAAAAGCTTTAAAATATGTATCCTAATCTGTGTTCCTCTGCCTCTTAGTGCCCTCTGCCAGCATGACCCGCCTGGTCCGTTCCCGCACAGCATCCGGATCCAGTGTGACTTCCTTTGACGGCAACCGCAGCAGGTCACACACTAACGAGGGCAACCGCAGTCGCTCCCACACCAACGAGGGCCGTGCCCGAGCCCACACCTCCGACAACCAACGCACACGTTCGCACACTGACAACATGGACAGTTCTGTGGACCAGGCTCCCAAGTCCACCGAAGTGACCTGTTAGACTGGTGACCCGGTCCATCTCACACATGCATTAACCTCTCTGTTCTGACTGTGCTGCGCTGCCACTAACTACACATGCAACAGGACCGCCGCATGCCGCTGTGCTGTTTCCCTCAGGGGTCTTGCACTGTTTTATTTGTCAGAGAGCATTTATGCCAAAGTGTCTTGTGTTTAAGACTATATTTCCTGGGGAAACTCTAAGGAAGGAGTGGATAGAGTGAATGAAGGACAGGATGATGGAGATATTTCTTCTTTTTTGCACCCTGCGCAATAGCTGTCTTGTTGTTGTTAGAGGCAATGCAGCACAGAGCCATTTTGATGGTCATCATCCAAGTAAGCTGGGCACTGAGAAGGGCACATTTGTAAATTTATGTTGATCTCTAGTCTGCGATTCATTTTCTTATGTCAAGTTATTATACCACTTTTACACACTAGTTTAAGTGCATAATTAATTTGTATAATCTGTATATGTTGAAATGGACCTCACTGAATAGAAAAGGGATTGGTTGACCACAGGGTCGAGATGGTGGTATTTTTTTCATGATGCTAACCTACCTTATAAAACTAAGGTTTAGGCTCATAATGTGTTGATTTGCATTTTCCTTGTTGGGATTGTCCCATTATTTTGGGTTATATGTGTAACTCAGTGATTGATGCTCTTGAAAGTGATTTAAAATTATTTTTATGGGATCAAATGTTTTTAAAGAATCTTAACATTAGTTTAACAAAAACCAATTTGTAGATATAAGAATACACGAAAATGACTATATGAGTGATTATTTTTGGTGTTTTTTTGTTTGTAACGATGATGATTTCTATGCAATCAAGCACAACAGAACAAAATGTGCCATGGAATCCTCTACTTGGACTGGATGCTTTTTTTCTCAAGGCTTTGAAAGAGTAAAGTGAAGGATTGCTCAGAAAGAGATAATATAAGCAACTCACCTGCTCTTCCACACACACTAAAACAAATGCTTGCAGCTTGGTAAGGCACTCTGCTTTGTAAAGATGTAAAACAATCTAATGCACTGCATTTTTAATGGAATAACAGTTTGTATTTATTTAAAAAAGGAAAATAAAAAGCTGGTTACTCAAATTTTTTGTATGTTTTTTTTTTTTGTCTCTCAATTAGAAGTGTCTATGCAAAACGTTATAGTACATGGAAAGCCTAACTTTATAAGGCAAAATTCGCTCCAAGGACTACAGTGTCATTTAAGAGCATAAATGTAGAAAAGGCATGAAATTACAAAAACTGTACATTATCAATACATAAACGCAATATATATATTTTTTACATAGAATTTGTATAAATTAAACAGAAGTCAACATGATATTGTCTTCATACATACTTGCATCTTTTGTACAAAAGGATTTGTCGCAATATAACAAAAGCTGGGATAATCTTGGTTGAAATAACTACATATATGAACAATTTGGTTGCAATAGGCCACATAGTCTCAAAATAAAATATATTCGGATATATTGGTTTATTTCAGTTTTTCCCAATAGTAAAAAGTCTCGCATAATACAAAAGAAAAAACTCCAAAGATGATGGTCAATTAAATATTAACTCTTGCTCAGGAAAAAAAACTGTGGCTTTCTCCCAAATCTTTCTATTGACTTTTTCTGCAAGGTCTCGTACACTCAGTTTCCAACCTCACCTCTCTCATGGTACAGTTCTAGATCTGTAAATATGTCATTGGGGTTTTTACAGCTCAGGTTGCAGAAGCAGGCGTTAATCCACATGATCTGCCAGGTGAAGCCAGATCCATTCGGGCACTGAAAGTCGACCTCAACAGTCTTAGATTTGTAAGGGATGCAGCAGCGCTCATCTGTACACACTCCACAGTACTTGGGCCAGTAAGTGTTTGTACTGGTGCAGCCTGAGATAGTGAAGTTGTGTGGCTTTTCCTCCCTGTAGATGTTCAAGCACTTCTTTCCAGGCTTGTGGAGAGATGAAAAAAGGGCAAAAAGGCACAGGGTCAAAACATATCCTTTTATACACTATAGTCATTCATGTCACTCTCAAATGTAACAATGGATCTGAAACCTTGATGTGCTTTGTGATATCCACTTTGCATGGCCGGATGTTGCAGAGTCTGCTCTCTTTGACCATCTGACACTGCTTGTTGTTGTTAGTAATGCGTAAAGACACTCCACGGCCACAGGTCTTTGAGCAGGGACTCCAGGAGGTTGTCTGTGTCACACAGTTCTTGTGCCAGGTGTCTTTTACACTAGACAGGGCTGTAAGAATGCAAAGACAATGATTATATATATATATGTATATATATATATTCCACATTGTGGTTCAGGGCTTCCATACATAAGTGTGGATGAGCAAAAACTAGTTTGTAGAAATTTAAGAAAGAAAGAAAGAAAGAAAGAAAGAAATTAGTCTGTTCAGAATCTGTGAACAATCATACCATCATACTCATGCATTGCCCTCAAAAATGAAAATGTCTGCAATGACCTACACCTGCACATTTTTACATGTGTAATTAATCAAACGTTACAGTAAAGACATTTACAATGTCACAAAAGATTTCTATTTCAAAATAAATTCTGTTCATTTGCACTTGCTATTCATCAAAGAATCTTGAAATAAAATTATCACCTGCTTTTAACATGTTTCTTAATTAAGCTTTGCCATCACAGAAATAAATTAATATTTTATTTTAAAATATATTAAAATAGAAAACGGCTCTTTTAAATTGTAATACTTCATAGCATTGCTGTTTTCACTAATTTTGACGGAATAAATGCAGCCTTAATGAACATAAAGAGATAAAGCATTTAAAAAATCTTATCAACCCCAAAGTTTAGATTAGTAGTGTGTGTACATACACACACACACACACAATATTAATGTTTTAGATCACTTCTTTAAATGAAAAAAAGTCAAAGTCTTTCCAACCCCAAACTTCTGTACATTTTAATTGTTATAATATAATATAATATAGTATAATATAATATAATATAATATAATAAATGTACAAACTGTAGACATTTCCATGAGTCTTAGAGGCCTGGAATTGACATTAGAAAACATATGTTGACATATGTTTCCTTGTAATATCCTGTTGTAAGTTTTAATTAGTTTGTTCACTGCTGTGAAGTAACGTCTGTATATTAAGTAATAAACTGTACTGTCTAAACGATTTAGTCTTGTTTCTATTTTCAAGTGCATGGTATCACTTAAAGGGACATGTTCCAAGCATTATCAACGAATTATCTGCCCAGGATGAGTTTCCAGCCATTTGCAGGAAGTTTATGAGACACTTGGAGATCATACCAGCCATTGTGTGTCTTGCTGCTGTCTTGCGCCCCCTCCTGGACTCATCACAGATCCACTGCTCACAGCAGCGGCCGGGGATTTTAACTCGCCGTGGGTTCTGGCACCAAACCCTGGGAGGCTGAGACTCGTTACACAGCGAGACACATCCGATCGCACCATTCACACACAAACACTGGTATTTGCAATTGGGCTGGAAGCTCTGGCCATTGCGATAGATCACACCATTGTGCTCACAGCCAGTGCCTGGCAGATCTGGATAGCAACAAAGAGCAAAACGAGTGAAGTCAAGTTCATCAAACACACACTGGATATACAATGCCAAGAAAAGTGTGTGATGTGTTGTGCTGTGCTAAAAGGTGAACAGAATGTATTATAATTCTGCTCAGCATCCCCTGGCTTGGTTTATCTGGGTTCCGCCACCTTAATCCACCTTTTAAATCTTCATCGTAATCTAATCTAAGACTGGAACACAGTGTTAATAAGAAGACTCTGTTAGTACAAGGACACTTACAGGCACATACTCCTTTTTCGTACCTAGGCTTGTCTGCGCTGTAATCACAGTAAAGGCCACGATGATGGTCACAGTTTTCTTTCTCGTTGCAAACCTCCCCGACCTGTTTGGCACATGCTCTGCAGCAATCGCAGCCGTCCATGACCAAGCTCACACCTGGTGGACAGGTGGGGGGAGTTTTAGGACATTGGCAGGGCCATTGGCAGTACTGGGTGCGATTATAGGGCTCCGGGGCGATGAACTCTGGTATGGACAGCATCTTAGAGGAATCCTGGGCAAATGCTCTGTGAATCTGTAAGACACAAGTCCCGACAGATTCCTGTTTCTGACATATTTAGGCTTTTGTCCCCCCCCATTCAGTTTTTTATTTATTTATATAGAACTATGTATCAGAATTGTGAGAAAAAAGTTACAATTGTGAGATAAAAGGTCGCAATTACCTTTTTATTTTTTTTATCCTGTGGCAGAAACAAGCTTTCATAGATAAATGTCTTAACCTCCTGAGACCCTGTGACCTCATATGAGGACATTATATTTTGGTGTATTTCTCTGAGACTATACATGCCACAGTTTTACGTCTGAATGTCCTGTACAGGGCACATTCAGGGCTTTTCAGAGATACTAAATGTTTGGATGTTTCACTGTGACCACTCCCTCTCCTTGGTCTTTAAAAATGTCTGATATTAATTTAGTGACACTCTTATGGAAATATGATAATATTTTGTAATTATCATTTAAATCTGTCTAATTTTTAAACTGTCTGTCATAAATCAACATCTCAGGAAAATGTTATGGGGTTTCAAATCAAAATATGACTTTCTGTTACGAAACAGGATGTTGATTTCATACATGTCCTCATATGAGGACACTGGGACTAAAAGCATGTTTATTAGCATTTTGGGAGACATAACAAATGAATAGGGAAAGAAATTATGTTTCAATATTCTATGAAATATTATATATTATTATGAAAATCTTGTCAAATATTACTCCCATTATTACACTTCTTTTTTCATTACGTTACCCCCAAAACACATTAATATGCAAATTAGATTTAGTTTATAGATACATTGTATATAATGAGAAAACCCGTTTATGGCCATTTTACACACATTTTGCAGAAAGAAAAATGGTATATCAAATCATTCTGTTATAACATAGTTGAGAATCATCTTTATACAAAGTTTGGTAAAAAAAAAATCATGAAAACTAAAAATGTATTGGTGATTTAAAAAATCTATTGTTTTTGCCTATGCATGTTCATTCATGTCTTTCTATTTTTATTTTTTAAATTGAGACCCGATGTCCTCTACCGAGGACATAGCATAACTTATGAACGAAATATCATTAAAAAAAATTTTTAATGCTCTAAACAATGTAAAGACATGAAAAAAACTATTTTTTTCCTAAAAATCTTTTCTCGGGTCTTAAGAGGTTAATTTGTAGTTCTTTATGTAAACGCATTTCAACTGAACCTCTAAATGCAATTTATGATGCCATTTATATTTGGAATCAATGTAGCTTAATTAATCACCCATACATACTACCATATCTCAGAGTAATGAACCAGTTCTAATTACACTTTCCTGCATATATCAAATTATAATAGCTATAGACCTGCTGTCAGTTCATGGGTCTCATTTTGTACTAGATAATCATTGCACATCAGGTCAAGAAACAAACACAGCTAATGGGTGGGTAGATTAAATATGATTCATTTTAAGGTTTCCAGTGCACTTTTTATTTTATGGTATGTATCTAAATGTTTAAACTGATGTAAATAATGGGGTATTGGATGACAGATCATGTTGATAAATGATTTTAGCAGGCACATAAAGTCAACTGCTTCAGGCCCTCAGGTTCAATTAACAAGATGATTGATTGACATGGCAACAGACTTAAGTAATACAGCACACGCAAAGTAAACCAGACTGGTGGCTCACAGCTGCAGGGCACCATAACCTTTGACCTCTTTTAGCCTGTGTGAGATTAGCAGAAGATATGGAAGGTGGAAGAGACAGCTAAAGTTGAATAAACTTAAAGCAGGATAAGTACGCCCTCTGGGTCACAGTTATAAGTATCAAAGAGGGTGGCTGTCATGTTCAAAGACATAATGGAGTGAACTTAGCTTTAAAGAGCATATGTAGCTTTAATGAGTCAAACCAATAAGGGATATCACTCATGCATTTTGACAAACATGTTTATTTCTGTCCACAGGGCGGCAGTATACTCTCACACATTAAATTTGTTGTTAAGGAATTGCATTCCTCAAATGCGTGAAACATGCGGTCATCTGTTACAAATGCCGGTCACATGTAATTAAATGATAATCAATAGCGCATTTAAATTTTAATTATTCAAGATATGGTATGAATTTAACGTGGAATAGAGGGGTGTCAGAGTTACTGATGCAAATACTGTTACGTAACAAACCTTTGATAAGGTGTCTCATTTTCACTTTACTAAAAAGTGGAATATATTTAAAGAATAGGATTTTTGAAATGCTCTGTTTCATTATGTGGTTTGTTCTATGTTTATTTTACAGAGCACATTAAATATTTCAATTCAAAATTTTATGTGCAGGCACCAAGCAACTTTTACAGTGTTAATGCAAAAGAACATAGGCTATTATTTATTATAAATAGTAGTATAGTAATAGTAGTAGGTCTGTAGGTTAAAAATACAGTTTTCCAACGCATGTTAAAACAGTCTCCTGTTTTAAATTAAACTGTAGGTGTGGTGTGTTGCTTATGCGTTATTTCATCTAATAATTCAGATACTATATTAAAGTAAATAAATATAAATACATAAACAAACAAACATATTTGTTACCTGCGGCACACAAGCAAATAGTAGAACCCACATCAGAAGCCAAGTCATCACTGATCCCGAGTGATAAATGCATTGAATCCAGAATTAGATGATTCTTGAAAAATCGCCCATACGCGAGCAGGATCCATTCATTTAGTGAGCTGAGGGTAGCACACACACACACACACACACACACACACACACACACCTTGATACTGCTGCTGTAAAGGTTTTTTATTAATATTTTGAATTAACTTTTATTTTTATATTTACAGTAGTAGAACCCACATCAGAAGCCAAGTCATCACTGATCCCGAGTGATAAATGCATTGAATCCAGAATTAGATGATTCTTGAAAAATCGCCCATACGCGAGCAGGATCCATTCATTTAGTGAGCTGAGGGTAGCACACACACACACACACACACACACACACACACACACCTTGATACTGCTGCTGTAAAGGTTTCATACTCAGGATCCTTAATGACGTCAGAGCCAAGGACAAACCGACCGCAAGCAAGGAATTGATCACGTGATTTGGCCAAACTAGAATGTGAGGTTGACTTTATAGGTTAGATGCGCGAACAGTTGCGCCCAAATTGTCTTTTGTCATCTTTAAAAAAAAGGTTTTTGTGACATAGTTGTTATAGCATATGTGCAATGTGTAATCATGTAAAAAAATACTGAGTTTTGTCGATAAAGCTCAGCAGGACGTTGCTATGGTTACCCCATCGGCTAAACGTGAATTTTGTTGGCGAGCGTCGATATATTGCAGCTCTGACTTGTCATTTTTGGGGTTAAACGTATGCAAAGAGTCATATAAACATGGCTCAAACACTAGCTCCATAATTCGTACCCTGAAGCACAGAAGCACATTTTGCCAATCTCTGTGAGAACTTTCTATTTTACAAGAATAAAGAAAGATTGGATTGGGCTTAAACAGAAAGAGAGCAAAATGTTCCCTTGCTCTTTTCATACCCTGATATACCTAATGGATTTCACTTTGGCATAGTCTACAAAATGCCATTCTGAAGTTCAAATATCACTCAGTTTTCCCTGAAGAGTGCTGTATTGCATGTCTCTGGGGAATAGGCTACATTAGAAAACATTGCCCTCAAGTATTTCTGTGTGAAACTGACCAGTTTAAATAGCACTTTATGCCACCTGATCATAACCACATAACCGGAAATCATAACCACACTACTAGGCGCGTTTCCATTACCCTTCAAATTGCGCAAATTGAAATTGCGAATTGAAAATACGCCTAATGGAAACGCGTCAATTTGCCATTGCCATGACTTATCGCGAGAGGCAAAAGGTTACGTCTAAGTCTCATAACATTGGTTAATGGAAACGCCGTCATTTCGCAATACTTTTTTATCGACATTTATAAAATATCGCCAAAGTTTTGCGCAAATCTGTAATGGAAACGCGACTGATGATATCATTGTTTCTTGTCGATAAATGGCGTTATTTGACTAAATGGAATGCACTTTTTACATTGTCTACGTAGCTGAAAGTCAATTGCTTAGTGATGCTTTATTCTTTGGAAATACTGTACCAGGCAGAAAGACTAATGAACACGTGAGAACAAAGAGGCTGTTATTTCTAACACAGAGCTACACAAAGGTTACTAACTTGCTGGCATAGTCAGTGAAGTGTATCATTTTTAAGAATAAGGCAGGTGTGGACATGCTCAACTTAAAGATCTGAGAGTAATTGTAGTTCTGCTACAAAAGGAAAGTGCGTTTTACCCTTTTAAGAGGATGAATTGTAATATATGGGTGTAAAGTTAAACATGATGTAAACTCTCATTCTCTAGTGACACCTGATATAGCAGCCTTTGTGAGAAAGAGAGTAAAGACAGAAAAAAAGTCATAGAAGATAAATGAACACAATAGATAGTGATGTACATCAGCTAAATCAAAACAGCATTTCCAATCTTATGTTTTTAAATCAAATGCAGCACAAAGCCCTCATAAGACTGCCTTCAGCTTCTTTGCCTCATTATGATCAAAACATTCTGAGAAGTCAAAGTCCACTTAGGAAATTCCCTGTGCCTTCAGTCATTTAGAATAGGAAACCCTTTCTAGACATGGGGGAAAACCTGTACAATACAAAGAGGGAAACAGACAGGTCACTTAAATTCTCTGCATTCTTTTTCTCTGATTGCTTATGATTAAATGTCCATTCATATCTCATTTATTCTAGTGACAGCTCATTTGTCATCCCAGCACGAGCAATGTGAACAATAACAGTGTGTTCTATTTGAAAACTCAGATTCCACTGAACATTGTCTTTGAGTCAAATGATTTGCATTAATAGAAAAAGATAAACATAGATCATTATACTGATCTTTATTTTGTGTCAGATCATTCTTCATTTCTACGTTTTATTCAGGTAACATTGATTCATGATAATAAAATAATAATTTAAACTGTGAACCAAAATCATTGAGCATCAAGCAAAGCCTTTCTACTATTAAAGACCTTTTAACAATTCCAATATCTGGTACTTTCACCTCTTGCTTAGATGCACTTAAAACAATAATAGATAAATAGATGCATGGGGACCAGTTTAATTCACTTTAGATAAAAAGCATCTGCTAAATAACATTTTCAAACAGCAACCATAAAAGTCAATTCTATTTTTATTTGTTCTAATAAGTGAATATAAAACAAACACATATACCAAAATGCCAAAGGGCACAGTAGATATGCACTTTCCTTTTTGGCTTGCACCAGATTGCCAGGTTTAGATGAGGCAGAGAATCTAGGCTGGATGCAAATCCAGCAAAGCATGGGAGAAAGCCACAGTCCATTGCACCACAGAGAGCTAGTACTGGCACTGAAGCCATGATGGCATAACCCCTGCACCCAAAGAGAATTAAACAGCAAAACACTGTACTTTTTGTCCTCACTTATTAGATTCTCAATAGCTCTGATGTGTTTTATTAAAGTTACTTTTAGTCTAAAAAAGAAAGAAAAGAAAAAAATGACCCAAAAATGAGCGGTACATTCTCTTAATTTTTCAAAAACATGCCTTATACTCCAATATTTGGCCCAGTGTTTGTTCCAATTGATTAACATGTTAAATGCTAAATGGGGAAATTACAATTTCCTCTTTTAGCATATTACATTAATCAGTTCCTATATTGGTGGGCCTGTGTAGCTCAAGGTTATATTAAAGAAAAACTTCCTCATCCTCAGGCTATCCAAGATGTAGATGAGTTTGTTTCCTCGTCGGAAAAGGTTTGGAGAAATTTAGCCTTACATCATTTGCTCCTCTGCAGTGAATGGGTGCCGTCAGAATGAGAGTCCAAACAGCTGATAAAAGCGTCACAATAATCCACGAGTAATCCACATTTTTCTAGTCCATCAATTAATGTCTTGTGAAGTGAAAAGCTGCATGTTTGTAAGAAACAATCCATCAAGACATTTTTAACTTCAAACTGCTGCTTCAGGCTAAAATACGAGTCCTCTATACATAATATTGCATTTTCCAGTTGTCTCGTCTGAATGAGGAGAGAAATATGCACAGATCAAGCACCATTTACAAGCAGAAAGAGTTAGTTCTAAACAAATATGTTGGTGGATTTTGATGTGAGGGGACAACACGGGATGGACTTTTTCACTGGAGGAAGCGTTATTATGGATTATGGACTCGTATCTTGTCTGGAAATGATGGTTTGAAGTAAAAAAACATCTCGATGAATTTGTTTCTTACAAACATACAGCTTTTCTCTTCTCAAGATGTGAACCGATGGACCTCAGGGTGAGGATATAAAATCTAGGCCCTAAAGCAAAACCAGTGGAGAACACTGAAGTGGGTTAACCTGTCAGCCTATCCTATAATGAGACCCTTCATAATGTTGAGTCTCTTTTACTGCTTTTATCTCCATGTCATCAGATTTTTACCGCTCATTCCACCCTTTTAATCTGCTTTGTGGTTAGGATATTTGTTTACTAAAAACACCTGTATTACCCAGTGCAATTTTCCAGTAAATAGTGAATTTATAGTCAAGCTCACTGAACTGCACACTGATGAGTTGTGAGATATGAAGTCAGAGAGTGACAACAGGAATGCGTTGACCTGAAGGAGATCTAGACTGCATGAAGTAATCTAAATGGTCTATTTTCCAGTTACATGACAGATTGAAAAGTATTTCATTACTCAAATTTGACAAAAAATGTATTAATTTAATTATTATTTGACAGCAACATTTTAATAGCAAATATGAATTTACTCATACTCACAACTTTTAATGAAGTTCCAAATGTAGGTTTGGGAGGAGCCTAATCATCCAGTCCTGTCAATCATCATTACAAGCCTATATAAGCAGGAGTCATTGCGCCATCCCTCCACCTCCCCATCTCCTCCTTTATTTCCGTTATTCTCCCTCTATGTAGTACTGCAGTGGAGGGGTTGAACATGGAGCTCATATTGGTTTGAGTCTCCATCGAGGACAACAAGCCAAGTTAGTTACCATTAACTATTACTGGATGGGCAGGCGAACTCATGAAATAACATTTTTAAGGCCAAAGGTGAAGTAAATATATACATGCAAATGAGTAATTGTTATTGGTCAGCTTCACAGAATCAGTATTTAAAAACTGGGTTTCCGTTCACTTTGATGCACCTTAAATGAATGTATTGGTTGTAAATGTTCTTATTTAGAGCTTGATGACTGAAAAAAGTCTCAGTTCTCGAGGCCTAATTTTCAAGATTTTCCTGAGTCAAGTGTTTGGTATTCATGGAAAATAAATAAAGCTGTTTAAAAGTAGCACTGTCTAGGCTTTCAGTAACTTTGCCAAAATAATATTTATTTTTTACCAAAATCACCCTGTATAACTACCATAATTGTTTGTTTGTGGAGTTAAATATTTGGACAGATTATGAATAGATATTCACATCCTTTTCCATTTATGGACATCATTAGTCAAAGTACTGAATGAGCTGATCTGCACAAAGATCAGAAAACAGTCCCTGTTTTTATTCATTTATTTGTACATTCAGCTCCACAAACCTAGGACAAGAAAAACACCATAGACAATACACTGAAACAGCAAGTGTTCAGTTTGTAGTCCTAAAATAAGAATTTCCGAACAATGGGGTTTTTATTTTTCACTTTTTTAGAGGAGTGGTTTCCAAATTATGAGTCAAAACAATGTCTGTTAAAGGATTACCTC